AAAAAAAAAAAAAAAAAAAAAATGGACCTCTAAGGGGCCGGGGATGTAGCTCAGTGGCACAATGCCTGTCTGTCAAGTGTGAGATCCCGAGGTTAATCCCTGGTATCAAAAGAAAAAAGACCTCTAGTAGTGAACTTGGTCTGGTAGAAAAGAGTAAATTAGGGTTGAGTATGTGAGCTTAGGTACAAGGAAACACTAACCATTCAAAATGTTTGCCTTCCAGTGAGAAACTACCTGAAGTACTTAATATGGAATCCCTACCCCCAGTTCACAGTGAGGGCCCCTCCAGTGCTGAGGGGAAGGACACTGCTTTCAGTCCTCCAGTGTACCCTGCTGGAATTCTGCTTGTGTGTAACAACTGTGCTGCCTATCGGAAGCTGCTGGAAGCCCAGACCCCCAGTGTACGCAAGTGGGCCCTGCGTCGACAGAATGAGCCTTTAGAAGTACGGCTGCAGCGGCTAGAACGAGAGCGTACAGCTAAGAAGAGTCGGCGGGACAATGAAACCCCTGAAGAGCGGGAGGTGAGGCGCATGAGGGACCGTGAAGCCAAGCGCCTGCAGCGCATGCAGGAGACAGATGAGCAGAGGGCACGCCGGCTGCAGCGAGATCGGGAGGCCATGAGGCTGAAGCGGGCCAATGAGACCCCAGAGAAGCGGCAGGCCAGGCTCATCCGAGAGAGAGAGGCCAAGCGGCTCAAGAGGAGGCTGGAGAAAATGGACATCATGTTACGAGCTCAATTTGGCCAGGACCCTTCTGCCATGGCAGCCTTAGCAGCTGAAATGAACTTTTTCCAGCTGCCTGTGAGTGGGGTAGAGTTGGACAGCCAGCTTCTGGGCAAGATGGCCTTTGAAGAGCAAAACAGCAGCTCTCTGCACTGAACCCCTCCTCCTGTCTGCCCTCCCACCCACCCAAGCCCACAGGGCTCAGTGCTGCAGGCACCTACAAGACCATCCTTGGTGCCAGAGGCAGTTCTGGGGTTTGCTGCAGGTGGACCTGTGCAACCCTTGCATGTGGGAGCAGGATGGGTGGGGTCAAAAGGGACCCAGCTCTAGGTACCCGGAACAAGGGAGCAGGCACTCCAGAGAACTGGACTCCCTAGTCACTGCAGCAGGCCAGGCTTATGGGACTATAGGGCCCCAGTACAGCCCATGAAGTTGTAAGGGCAAATAAATTAATTTTATCTTTACTGGCCCTTTCCTGCTTTTTGTTTGTTTGATTCTAGCCAATGAAGCGAACTAGGAGAGAGCTGGGAGTTTTCAGGCAGTGACTGCTGGTGGCTTGCTCTTTTATAAGGAAGAGTGCTCTTCAATTTAGACTACCCAAGCTCATATCCTTTACAAATTGGTGAGGAATAACTGACAGTGAAGAAAGAACTGATCCTGAGAATTCATTCTCACAACCATAATTGATACCTACAATTCCGTGGGCTGTGTAAACTTAGCTTACCTTTTCCACCTTAGAAGTAGTAGAAGCCTTTTCTCACAACTGGTATTTTCTAAACACTATGTATACTCAAAACTAGGTGCAAGCTACTTTTCCAAACAAAATACACTTTTTCAGGCACTTAAAATTCTATCCCAGAGAGCAGCAAGCTGTATCCAGGAATATATTCATGAAACTGGTTGCAATATTCCATACACCACTGAACTCATGTTTCAAAGAAGAGCTAATCCATCTTTATCCCTTGGAGCCACAACAGAATCATAAAAGCCATTGAGGAAAATTCAATTAAGGAAATAAGCTCACTCAAGTCAACAATGGCAAAGGCTAGACCAGAATGACTACTCTGGCAGTTTGCAAGGCTGTCAAGCGATGGAGAAGACAAGTGCTGAGGTCATCACATGTTTTGTGATGGTACAGAACTTTCCTTAGCCTGCATCAAAGGTTGTGTACAGTTTAGATAACTATAGACCTTGAGGTCCAGAAGGAAGTGCCCTAGTTAAATTGTAGCCAGAAAATTAACTATGCCAGGAATGTGGACCTCTTCCAGTACCATAACAGGGAGACTTGGCTGCCTCTCTGACCTCCATATGCCCAAGGCTAATAGTGTCATATGACGCCCACCAAAGTAGGGTGAGTTCCTACCACCCAGGCTGAAATGTTTTGAAAATTACATTTAAAAGTAAGTACTTAATTGATTCAAATGGTTTTCTCTCACAGAGTTCAGTATCAAAGTCCTATTTGGGATGTTTCAAAATGGTTTAGCACTTTACATGGATTATCTAATTTAGTTTCCACAACACTAAATACAAATTCACAAATTAGATGCCTGGGGGACCAGGCATTTAGCTCAGTGGTGCAGCTGCCTGCCTTGCAAGCAGGTCCTGAGTTCAATCCCCGGTACCAAAAATAATTTCAAACAAACAAACAAATTAGATGTCTGGATTCAAAACTGTTCTGCTGTACTGGGGATGAAGCCCGGTGGTAGAACACTTGCCTATGATAGCAAGCATGAGACCCTGGGTTTAATTCCTAGCACCAAAAAACAAGACAAAAACCTGTTTATTAGCTGTGTAACTTTGGACACATTATCTAACCTGTATGTCTTGCTTTCCCCATCCACAAATGGAAGTAATATTAGCAAAAAATGATTGTTAACATGTTCACGCCAGAGTGGTAAATTTCATGTCTTGCTGCCGCCCAGCTCTGAATTATCAGGTGCTAGCCACCCAATGGGAGTCATAGAACACACACATATATTTGTGCATACATACACACATACATATATATCTATCCTAAGACAGTTTGTGGGACATAATGTCTAATGTATGTGTCTAACTACAGTACCACGTTTTTTATTATTTTCACTATTAACTGGTGGCAAGCTTCCTACATTAGGAGTAGTAACTGTGATTGGAGCTGACTTAAGCAATTTCAGACAATCTTACTGAGTAAAGAAAAGAATTTGGGGGGTGGGTATGGGGACGTAGTTCAGCAGTACCACGCCTGCCTGACAAGTTTGACTGCTGGTATGGGGGGGGTTGGGTTGGGGGAAGAGGCCAGCAGCCAGGACACCTACAGGTATTTATGGTTGATTCTGCTGCTATCTAAGTATACAGATAAACTCTATCAACAGCAAGACCATGCTTTACATAGCTCCCACCATCTGCCCTGAGCTCACCACATGAAGGGCACCATTTGTATTCCATTTCAAGTGCTCCCGCAACGCATTTTTACCCCCAACAAGGGCAATCACCTGAGGCTGGGATAGGAAGGAGTCGCAAACACGAAAAGGAAAAGCTAGTAGTTTATATAGATAGATATATAGATATATATAGATATTGATATATATTGTGTTTACATAGTCCACAAGTTAAATGCAGGTATCCATAAGAAGAGCATTAACAATAAAAATACAATCTGTGTGTAGCCAAGTACAGAGACTTAAAATGGTAAAACAGCAAAAAGGATCTCACAAAAGTACAAATATACAGTACAAATTGATTTATTTAAAACAGTTACAAAAAAGCACAACAAAATAGAGATTATCCTTAGAATTATTAATGCTTTGTTAAAGATCAGGTAGGATTAGAGGGTAAGAAATGGTATTGGGTAGGGGGAGCACCTGACTAGTTCTAAGGCTTTAGATACAATGCAGTTGATTACATATTAATTCAGCCATTACATACTGGGGATAGTAGTGGGGGGATCAGTGATTTATCTACAGGGAACTCCTACACAAATCAGATCAAACCAGACCTCCCCAGTGCCATCCTTCTCTAATCCTTAGGACCCTAAAGCCACCTGGGTGACAAAATTTCCATCCTTTCTCCACCCCGTACCCTATACACATATTTTTCCCTCCCCTAAGGTGCTGTGCAAGCTGAGAGCAGTTTGCTCTCTGCAGCTGGAACTTATACTGTTTGGGCTACAGGGATCCTGTGTGACTAGAAAGTTTGTAGGGGACAGTCTTATTTTAATACTTCAAATTAGCCATGAGTATAGTCTCTTCCCCAACACAATCCAGATTCTCTTCAATCATGTATGAGGCAAATATGAGGGATCAACCAAGCCTTCTGGAAGACCAGCAGCTCACTAACCCTCAGAGTTCACCAGTAGGTGCAAACTCCTTATAGGGGTGGATGTAAAACCACTGTCATCAGCACTCTCTCCCTCTCTCTCTGAAAAACCTAAGTCCCCATGATGGTCATAAAGACAGAATAAATGCAAGTTTGACAATGGATAAAGGCACATGGGTTGCTACCACACACACACACTACAGACAAGAACCCAAAATGGGACCATCTTCACTGCTGGGCATTTGCAGTGGAATGGCTTTGGGATCAGACTATGAGTTTGCAATCTACTAGGGGAAGATCTAGGCTTAATAGAACGAATAAACTTTTAGTGTGAAAAGTGCATTTATTACTACTGTTCCTGCTGGGGAGGCTCAGCAAGGCAAACCGCACCACCTCTCCTCCTCCTGCCCCCGGCACTGTGCATAGTCTGCAAGTAAGGAGAGAGTGCAGCTGACTCTACTAGCATCAAAGGCCAGTGTCATCCTAGGCCCAGACCAGGCTCCTGGTCCGATGATGGATCCTAGAGTTGAAAGAGCAACTGACAACTGCAAAGACACAGAGGCTTATTTTTTTTTTTTATTGCATAACGTGGGAGACCTTTCCTACCCCGGGGAACTTGGTGGACGAAAGCTTCGCAGCAAAGGGCTAACGTTTCTGATTAATATCCAACTTAGCAGGGTTCATCTCTTCAACTGTAGTGTACACTTTTTCCATCTGGAAAATACTGTAGCTTCAATGTGGTTTAATAAACTTAGCCCAAGGAAGTCAAGACATCCCCCTAAAACTTGGCCTCTGTTCTATTTACTTTGCTTCTAAAACCATGGCCTAATCTCCCATGGCCAATTCAGTTAGTTCGGTTATCTTTACTCTGATGGACCTGGGCCCTTTCCCAGTCATCTCATGTCCACTTTCAGCTCCAGTGTGATCAGTCAACTCTACCATATGCCTGCTTCTTGCAGGTTTAAATCATATTACCATCCTGTGCTTCCCCTAAATCGCCTATGGTGCCCATTGGAAAAAAAAATAACACTAAACCCTACTGGAGAGGTTACTTCAGCCAAACTTCAAACCCTCTCCCAACCTTAGAATCCATGTAACTGGAGCTCCATGAATCTTTCTGGGATGCTGGCACAGGCCCTAATGTGGTTCCTCCCTACTCAGTTTTTAAAACAAGAATACAAGATACTAAAAAAGAAGTAATATAACAGAAAATACCCTCTCATAGGAGCTGCTCATTTCTTTCTCAAGATAGGCAGATCTTTGGAGCCAGAAAGCTCCTGATACCACTGAAGCCATATATATCCCTATGGATTCACCAGCCCACCAGCAGCATTTCATACCATCCCTACTCAACATGACTGTGCTATACAGTAACACTGCAAAACAGATAAGAATACACAAATGCCTGAATTTAATTTACATGGCCAAAGATATGGAAGGACAGGGAGCTACAGAGTGCAGCAGGCAGGACAGTGAGCAAGAGCAGCAGTGGCAAAGCAGCGGAGGAAAGCCCATGGTGTTATGACCAACTGGGACCAAAAGTGTAGAAGGGTCAGTCTAGATCTGCTGGGTCCACTCTTGTTGGGTACAACACTAAGCTCTGAACTCCCAGATCCCTTTTTCCAAATATAATAATCATCACAGGAATGGTGATCTAAGTCTTAGGATCTTTTGAAGACTATCTAGCAGGTATCCCTTCTTCCAAATTGAAGTAGGGATTTCTGTACAATTCCAGAGTATACCAGTCCTCCCTTTTATCCCTAAGCTCTAGGAATGTTCTACCATTGACTAGGGACTGACCTGCCTTCCTCAACTGCCCATTTCCAAAAAGCTGACAACCTCTTATTAAAATGCTCATTTTCCCAAAACTTCTCTTTTCTCTTGCAAACTTAGGTGACTCCTATAAAGAAAAATAAGATATACCAGTTTACTCTTATTTCTCATGTCTGGAAAAAAAGAGTGAACCAGAAGAAAAGTCAAGGGCAATGACAGTTCTGACCAAGATTTAGAGCACAGAGGTTCTTGTTCTGGAGACTATATTTTATGAAAGCAAGCTCCCTCTGCAGCTCAGCAAAATCAAGTATTGACATGCTACACATACATGGCACAATATTTGGAGAGCTGCTGGTATTGCTTCACCAGCAAGAAAGAGAAGAGGAACCATGGAAGAAAGGTCAGGGCTCAACTTGCCAAGGTCTCCCACAGTTTCTCTTTCCACGACTCAGTGGGAGTTACCAGACTGGGAAGTCACAACTAACCTGAGTAGAGGGTAATTTGACTTAAACTCCTCGGTCTGTATCTGGTTAGCTACAGGTTTGTTCCTATAAGGAAGCTTAGTTGGGGTCATGGTGGACATTCTGAGTGTCTGCTGTATCACTATCTTCATATACTAATGAGCCCTCCTAAGAAGGATGCTTGTGAGGAACCCATGCATATGACAAATCCCAAGGAATAGGTTGCTCAAGAAACAGCCAGAGATGAGACCTTCTCCCAACACCCTCATCTGAGGGGATTCCTTAAGACTCAACCCCACAGGCCCCCTCCGTAGGAAACAAGCATTCAGAGAAAGCAGCATTCAGAGAGAATGGGGGATAGAAAAGGGAAAGGACATGATCTCAAATGTAGTACAAAGTTGGTATTTGGTTCTGTCATATACCAGAGACTGAAGAACTTGCGGTCAGGTCAGGAGACTCCTTTGGATGGACTCCGTAAAGCTCACTGACCAGGTAACTGCTCTCAAGGAATGAAACAGTGGAGTGTAGGGCTTGTAGCAAACAAGCCAGTTTCAGTCACTCTGTTCCCCCAGGAGAACAACCTTTAGCACCTGAACACTAAGAATGACTCCATTCTCAGAACTTCCCCTCCCCCCAGGAGGTAGGTAAGATTATTTATCCCCATTTGGCAGCTGGGGAGGAAGTGAAAGAGAGGTCGTAAGACTTGCCTACAGTCTTTGACAGAGCAGAACTCAGACCTCAGAGATTTGGGACTCCTGATGACAGGCCAGGCTTTGGCCATTCCATTTATAAAAGGAAATGCCAGGATCATACCTGGGAGAAATCTAACCAGAGAGCTGAGTGGACAATACCCTGAGTTGCCTTCAAGAGTCTAAAGGACCCCCTCCCCCAAATCAAACAAACAAGGCCACTCATCCACCTGATAGCTGGTGGGGGAGCCTAAATCCCAATACCCAGTAGAATCCCACAGTCCAAACATACTAGAAATTGTGGGGAAAAAAATAAATGTGGGTTTAAGACAAAGGGTAGCACATGCAACTAAGATTGAAAATACTCTGTGCATAGGAAAATACCATCACGAAACGAAATATACTTTAGGTATTAAAATGTTACTAAGACTATCCTAGATCCTTACAGCTGGTATGGGAGGGAATAGCCTGGAGAGAACTGAATGCTAGGAGAGGCAGTGAAATAACGTAAGAGGGGGACATATGAAAATACCAGAATGGGAATTGCCTAGCCAGGTGCATCTGCCTTGGTCCAAGGCATGGTTCCCTTTTTGTTTCTCCCCCAACCTATGTGGCAGTAAAAGAGGAGGGGCCGTGACTTAGAGTTCTTAAAAAGAAAAAACTTAGCTGATGGGGAAACCAGGGACCCCTACATACCAGAAACTAGAGGTCTTGGTCACAGTGGACAAAGCCACTTTTGCAGAAGAGGAAAGGCAGTGCAGCTACACAAGGCCCAGCTCAAGACACCATGCAGAGGCTAGAGTGGCAGAAGGGTGGGGCAGTGCAGGCACTTAGGCACAACATACACAGACAACAGAGGGGTGAAGGTGCCTGGGGAAAAGGTCCACTGATTCTTACCAAAGTCACCATTACCAACTAGAGACACAACAAAATCTCAAAGCAGGCCCAGTATACTAAGTAGGAGGAGCTTTGTTAGGTCAGCTACCTTTCCAGAAGCCCTACCTAGAGCCCAGTCACCTGGCTGTGAGATCTTTCTCCCAAAGTCCCGACTGGGTCCCTGGCAAGGCAGAACTCCACTCTGAACTCTCGAAGGGCTTCTCTCTCTCCTGGCCTCCAAGCTGCTAGAAGCCTCAGTGGAGGAATGGTAATGGTGAGGAGAGATGGGAAAGGGCTGAAGCAGAGGATCAAGCAGAGTTCTGCAATGAGGGTGCTCTTCTCCCACACACCCAGCCATAGATTTCTGTAACAAAAATCACCCTTTAAAGTGCACATCTCTCACAAGAAGGGTTCTGGGTGGGAACCCTCTTATTTCTAACCATGGGGCCTCCTGCCCTCCCACCACAAAAAAAGGAAAAAAAAAAAACAAAAAAAAAACCTTCAGACAGTTTTACTGCTACTATAAGCTGTGGATCATCATTTTTGGCTCTTTCATTGCTCCCCCTCTCTGCCACCTGCTCCCAAAGCCTGTACTTTCCCTTGCAGGAGCTAGGGATAGGGAGGAAAGAGCAGGGAGGCCCTGATTTTGGAATGTTTCTTTTCCTATGTGCACCCCCTCCCTTTCTTGCCCCAGGCCTGCTGCACCCTATCACAGCACCCCCTGGGGCTGTGCTTAAAGGATGCCAAGGGGTAAGAAGCAACAACAGATCCTGCCTTGGGAAGGCTGCCTTTGATGCCTCCCCTTTCCCCCAAAATCTCACTGCCAAGAGAGCCATTCCCTGCTCGGCGTGTGCAAATCCTCTGCCTGCTCACGGTGAGGCTCACCTCTGGGGTAAAAGCCCCAGTCCTGGTCTGGGAAAGAGGTTCATTTTCCCGCATTTGAACGCCCTTCGATGGACAGCTTTACCTCTTGTGGAATGAAAGAGGGACGGAGCAGCGCAGCCCGTGCCTCCTCCCCTTGCACGCTGTATCTTTGGAAGTTTGGGGATGGCCAGCAGGCCTGAGCACCAGGCTCAGGCTGGGAGGGCTCTACCACATGGGAGCCCTCTCCTGTGGGCTGGCTCTTCCCCTCACTGTCACACAGGTCTCTGGGTCCCAAAACTGTCCTCTCAGGCCTTTCTCGAGAGGGACCCAGCTGGCTTGGGGGAGCACAGCCGGCCTGAGAAACCGAGTTACTGTTCAAGCTCTGTAAACTGATAGAGATGCAGACATCTCCCACCTGTAGTCGATGGCAGGGCAGAGAGAAGAGTTGTGCAGTCCGCCCAGGGCTGCAGGAGGACCAACCCTGGCCATACACAAAGAAGGGGTGCTCGGGGGGCACCTCAATGCTCACTTTGCTCTGCTGCTCACCAACCACAAAATGCAGCATAACAAATCCAGGCCATTGGCTCTCCTGAATGTCCACAACCGTGCTAGAGTCAATCTTCAGCCCCCCGCTCACTTCGGCACTGCGCACAAAATCCTGGGTCTGGAGGTCCTCCACCCGCTTCAGCTCCCCTGTAGCCAGCTGGATGATGGCGCCTTTCATGAAATGGGAGGGCAAATGGGAAGAGGTAATAGGGGGTGGTGTTGGCTCTTTGTCTGGGAAGGTGGCTCTGGCCTGCATGTCCAGACTTGATGCCACCAGGATCTCTGAGCCCACAGGCAGCAGGCCTGGGTCAGTTCCAGTGGGCACCAGGTTGCCATTGGCTACAACCATTGCTTTGGGTAAAAGTCTATGTTTCACTGGTTCCTGATGGGGCTGAGGATAGAACGCACGGGCCTGATTTTTCTCTGCCACCTCTGCAGGGTTCCTGGCTGACCCTCGTCCCTCAACCTGATGGTCAGGAGTATGATGGGACAGGTTGAGGGGGCTGGATTCATCTTTCCTCTGAGCTGCCACCACACGATAGTCCTGAGAAGCTAAAGCGCCAACCACCCGCTGGACCTCAAGGTCGGTGTCTGGGGTCCCTCGATGAGCTGGTGCCGTCACCTCCACTCGTGAAGTCTGAGAACCTGAAAACAACTGTCCATCCACCACACATTCTACCACTGGCACCAGTCCTTGGCCTTCACCCTTGCTGCTGGGGGAGTCAAGGGCTTCACTTTCCCGCCTTACTAAATTTCGCTCTTTTTGTCTCTGTCCTCCATTGGCAGCAGCTGCTTCCAGAGCAGACTGGCCCTCCTGATGGGTAAGAACTGTGCTGGCACCTGCTGGAGGGTTTTCATGCAAAGTATATCCAGCAGGTAGCCTAGACATCTGATAATAAATGGGCATCCGGCCTGGAGCAAGGTCCAGTGGCTGAGTACTTGAGTGATGTGGCAACTGCCCAGGTGGGGAGGTGGCAGGGGAGGCTTTGTTAAATGAATGGGCTGGGGATGAAGGCTGGGGGGGAGGAGTGGCTTCTTCTGCCAGGAGTGAGGCATATGGCACAAAGTGTGGAAGGTGAGAAGTGGCAAGATTTGCAGAAGGAGAAAGGAGGGGACTTGGTAGGAAATTAGGTGGCACAGCATAGGGAAGGCTATAAGGAGACCCAATAAACTGCAGTGAGGTGGATGGGAGCTGAGCATAGTGGATTGGAGGATAGTGGATTCCTGGATGCTGAATCAGTGAAGACGCTACATTAAATGTGGGGGGCAAGGGGCTCATGTTCACCACAGATGGGAGGCCAGTTGGTGAGAAGGTGGCAGGTGGCACAGCCACCTTATACAGCATGCCATACTGATCTACCGTCAGACCAGTGATAGCTTCAGATCCATCACCCCCCAGGCTGACTCTGGCTCCAGCCTGGCTCTGCCCGGCCACTACAACCCCTCGGGACCATTCAGAGGCATCACTGGAGGGTGTATGGTTTGTGGAACAGCTGGTAGTCCGCCCCATATCCTCGCTGGTCACAGGGAGGTCTCGTTTCTTTGGTGGAAGGCATTCCTGACTCCTCTCATGAACAGGTTTCATATTGTTTTGTGGTGTTCCTGAAGCCTGGAAGGGGCTGGCTTGCTCCTTGGGACATCAGAAGGGGCTTCTCTGTGGCTTCCCTGCACCCCTCTCTGCTGTTGGCTGGGGTGCCCACATCTGCTAGGGAACAAATCAGAGGCAAAGAAAAGTAACCTACGGAAACACACACACGTGCGTTCACACACACACACACACACACACACACACAGAACTGTGCCCAAGGAGGAAGATGTAACAAAGGTGATTGGTGGCAAAATGAGACATGAGAGAAGGGCAGACAAGGTGGCTATATCTCCCTGCTCACCAGCCTAGGACAAGAAAAACCATCAGGAAAACCACAAAGCAGAGAGCTCCAAGGATGAGCATTCGATGATACATAAATAACTTGAGGGCTCCACAACCTCAGGGACCAAAAGCTTCAGGATTAAACATGCCTTTCATAAGGACTTGACTCCTCAGTCTTTGCTGTTAAGGGGGCTTTGAACACATGATCTTTGCTGAAGGCTTCTTCCTAAATTTCTTCTTTTACTGCCAAAGAGTAACGTGCAGTCTTCTGTCCCTGAATGTATGACCTCATCCTTGCTTCCTTTCCCCAGTCTAATTCGGGTTATGATCTCACCTGCTCCTATCCCTCCTACCCCAAGATTGGCTAAACTCCCAAACTCCTTTGCCTTTTATCATAGTACCTTACACTAAATCCTGAGACTTGTCTTTTTTTTTTTTAATTTGGTCTCTAAACACAGTTTCAAATATAGTACCTTTTTCGCCCCAAGAAACTGCATTCCAACTTGGGCCCTTTGGGAAGAATGATTGTATTAGCTTGCTCTACAGCTTGTTTCTCCTCCTCTCCCAACAGCAGTGAAATTCTTCTGGTCTCACTGCCGGTTCTCTAGTCTGGCAAGACTTCTTTTCTTTTCATTAACCACCTTCAACTTACCTTCTTCATTCCCCTTTTCCTCCTTTTGCCAATAGGTCCTTTTCCACTGCAAGTCTGCTCTAGACACTTCACAAAATTCTTGTACCATTCTTCCAAATATGCCTGTTTATCCCTATCTTAGATTTATATGATTCATAAGAAAGTTCTGTCTCTTTCTCTTACTTTCGTCTTTCATAACTGCTTTTGTCCACAGTAAAAAATTACCTTCTTGGTCTGAATATCTCAATGCATATGAACTTTGCCACCTATTTTTTCCAACTACACTCTAGTTCTCTGGATCCAAAAAGAGCTTTCTATATCACATTCTATTCAGTTTTTCCACTGCTGCATCCCAGATGTTTTTCTGTAACAGTGAATCCAACTCATTATTACCTGAACTTCTGGTGGTGCTTCCAGGTAGCTGTGGTAAGCGTCCTCCCGGCTGATGTGGGAGTCTAGAAGAAAGAAGTAGGGATGGAGTAAGCAGAAGATTGACCTCTGACCTTCCTGCAGGGTCATCATGAAAGGTAATTATAAAGCCATTAAGAAAACATTAAAATCCACAATAAACCCCACCCTCTTCTCCAGAGGCAACAACACAATAATCAAGAGTGCCTAGGCAGTTAAGAAAAAAAGCCATCTCTCAAGTTTTAATTTATAGAAAGACATACCTGAAAAAATTCTTCCATGCAGCAGATTTCATCATTTTTCCTCAACATCATATTCTTCATTCTTTATCCTCTACCTTTTTTTTTTTTTGAGACAGGGTCTCACTATGTAGTTGAGACTGACCTAGAACTCACTATGTAGCCCAGGCTGGTCTTGAACTCACAGCAATCCTCCTGCCTCAGCCTCCCCAGCTAGGATTACAGGTGTGCACCACCACGCCCCGCTTACCCTCTACCTATTTAAAGGTAAAATTTCCTGAAGGCAAAAATTTATTTCCTGAAGGTAAACTGGAATGTTTGGTAAACGCAGAAATAAAAATGATTTAACACTGTTCCCATATGAACAACAGGAAGCAGGGAATTTCACCCTTATTCAGGGCCTATGATTACAAAGATGTGGAGGCATTTGAATAAAAAAGGTGGCACTAGCAGAAAAAGAACAATTATTTATGTTTCTGGGGCAGAAAAAGAGGTCAAGGGGGAGTCACTGAAGGGGAAACCTTATTAAAAATCTTTCAGGGTAAAAAAAAAAAGCTCATGTGTGTGCAAAAATTTCTAACAACTTTACACCAACTGAATTGGGAGTGACAGAAACTGAAAACATCACTTTGGTCCCACACATCTAAAATGGGGAAACAAAACCACCACTATAAGATCAATATCTGGATCCACAATTGTCAGAAACATCAAGCACTAAAGAAGGAAGCCTTAACCCGTGAACACAGAGAAAACCATACCGACAAGTACTAGAAACCACTGGCTGTCCTGTCCAAGATCCACAGAACACTGCAAGCCTGCATCCAAAAGGAAGGCCACATTTATTTTCGGCTTGGCATGGTGGGATATAGAAAAAGCGGAAACATAGGAAAACAAGAGTAAATAAGTTTCTAACCCCACAAATTACACTGTGGGCATAAGTCATGCATCCCATCCCTTCTTTGCTAATAGTTTCAACGACTGAAAAGTAGTTAGCTTTCTCCTTTATTCCCAACATAAACTGGGTTACTAACATCTTCACTGCCAGAATGATTCTTGCTTCCTGCAACTAAAACACTGGAGAAAACCTGCCTGTAGGTCACTGAGGGGTTAGCAAACAGAAGCTAACACGAGGACTAATAGAGGCAAGAGGTCTGCAGGAAGGACAACAGAAAGCCAAGTCTGTGTGCCAGGTTGCCACAAGGCAAAACACATCTCAGAATCTGAAACCTCGGTCTCTTGAGGGGCTTGCTGAGAAAAGACACCGCTTGTGACCTCAACTGGACTAATGCGTAGCGGGAACCATTCCCCAAAGCTCCCAGCACAACCCAAAAGGAAGCTCCTAATCAAGCTTAGGTCCGAGTCAAGAGAGGGTGAACCCTGCGGGAGACCTAATTCGTGGAGGGTGAGAAGAGCGCCCAACAGAAAGGGTGAACCATGAAGAAGAGTAGAGGTTATGGCTTCCCGTCATCCAGAAATCCGTGATCCAACGAGGGTCGGGCCCGAAAGGAGAAATTCAGTGTCCAGAGAATAAGGGTCGGCCTTCAAGCCTCCGGACGGGGGCGAGGCCCCGCAGGCGATGCTTCCTTGTTTGGTGGCCCCTTCCCGCTCCGAGGACTAGGACACTCGGGCCCGTGGAGACACAGGCGGGGGCGCAGCGGGGCACCGGGGTAGGAAACCACCTTCCGGGCGGGAGACAGACGAGCGTACGGGAATCTAGGCGCGCGGCCTCTCTCGCTGCCTCTGTCCGCGGCTTTCGGGCCCCGGCCCGGTGGAGCAACGGGCTGTGTTGAGTCCACTTCCCCCGAAGCTCCGAACCCAGGCCTATTTGTCCCCAGTTACGCCGGACTGGTAGCCACCACTCCCAACACTCACCGGCCCATCTCACAGCGCTCCCTGGGCTCCTCCCGGTAGTCCCGGAGCCACAGCAACCGCCATCCCCGGCCCTGGAGCCGCCCCACACCCAGCACCCCCCTCCAGGCCGGGCGCCCGGAGATGGCGTCAACCACGTCCCGCCCTGGCGCCGAGAGATTGCGTCACAGGCCCGGCCGGAAAGCGACGCCTAGAGCTACCCTCGCGCCCTTTGCGTCTAGCGCCCCCTCTGGTGGGAAAATGAACTCCTCTCCCTGGGAACAGGTCAAGGGAAAAGGGCTGAACCCAGCCGCTCAACTTGACTTTATGTTGACACCTTCATCTTTCCACTCCAGTAAATTTTAAGGGGCTCCAAACAGAGTCGTGTTGTGTAGTCATCAGCAACCCCACCTTGCCTGGACTTCCGGTCCTGATATGGGAAGCCGGCTGTAAGGAACCTCAGGGAATCCGGGGTTGACCCAGGCCCGGGAGAGTAAGAATATCTGTCCCGGGGACAGAGTCCTGTTAGTAGCTCTATAAAAGTTGAGAAATAGACCAAGCATGGTGGCACAAACCTTTAATCTCAGTACTTGGGAGGCTGAGGCAGGAGGCTCTGAGTTCAAAGTCAGCCTGAGCTATATAGCCAGTTGGGGGCCAGCTTCTGTTTTAACAAGCAAACAAAGCCAGGCGTGGTGGCACACCCCTGTGATCCCAGCATTCAGCGACTGAGGCAGGAGGATCGTCACAAGTTCGAGGCCAGCCTGGACTATATAGTGAATTCAAGGCTGAAATACACAGACCCTGCTTAAAAAAAAAAAAAAAAAAAAAAAAAAAAAAAGTGATGAACACCAGTAATCCCAGCATTCTGGAAGCTGAAGCGGTAGGATTGCCATGCATTCGAGGCTGGCCTGCGCTGTGTAATAAGTTTAAGGACAGGCAGAACTACATAGCAAGACCCTGTCTCACAAAATTAAAAAAAAATAGCAAAGAGTTGAGAAATGACCATGAGGAAGATAAGAAAGGCAGCAGACCCAGGATCTAGGGCAAGTGAAGCAAAAAATAGGGGGCCTGAAAGTTTGTGGAGAATGAAGGAGGTTAGTACAATGAAAAGCAGTTTGATATAATGGGAAGAGGGCTTGGAAATTTTAGGTCACCTACTCATTCCAAATTAACTAGTCCACTTCATAGTCACATGAACATCTGACTGATTAAAATGAAAAAATGAACACGAGTTTGTGTTTGGATTACAACTACATTTTTAAAAATGTTTGAAGAAATGAACTAAAACATAAGTTGGAGTATGAAGAGATTGGATTTTTTTTCCTTTCAGTTTCTGCACTGTTCAATTTTGATTTTTGTTTGATAAAAAAAGTACTGGCTGATGCTTTGCTCAGTGGCAGCATCATAGCCAGCAAGCTTCCTCTGAGGTGCTATTATTTTGTGTGTGTGTGTTATTTTATAAACTTATTTACTTATTATCCCATTCCCCCCTTATGCCCCCTCCCCTCCCTATGTACAAAAAGCTTTGTTTCCATTTTTCCTTCTATTTTCACTTTTTCTCTTGTCCCTCGCTTCTTTTCTCCCTCCCTCCTCCCTTGTTCCCCTTCCTATTTGAACACTTTCTTCCCATTTCCCAACACCCATTGTACATTTCAGCCCTTATTTCCACTTTTGGTTTTTCACACCAGAGAAACAATGAAGTATTTAAACATGTGTGTCTGATTTATTTCATTTAAGAGTATGGTCTCAAAGTCCATCCATTTAGCTTTAAATGTCTGAAGCTCATCCTTTATTCATTCTTTATGACAGAGTAGTACTCTATTGTATTAAAAAAAACCCACACCTTTATCCACTTGTCAGTTGATAGTCATTTTGACTGTTTCAAAAATTTAGCTCTTACAAACTGTGAGGCATGATTTGTCAATAAAAAAAATAGGTAGTGGGTGAATAAAAGCCTTTTGTCCTGAACATGTAACTGTCCGAACTTACAAAAGTCATTTCACTACTTTAGCCTTGAGTTTCTACTACTGTAAATGAATGGGAGGAAAAATGTATGAAAGGGAACTCTCAAAATATGTTTAAGTAAAAACGATAATCAAATATGTACAGTATGACAGTATTTATTTATTTATGGTACAAGGGATTGAACTCAGGACCTTGTGCTTGAAAGGCAGATGGCAGCACCACTGAGCTAAATCCCTGGTCCAACAGCATATATTTATTGCTAAAGGGTGTCATAGTGGCATAAATTATGTATATGATCAGAAAAAATGGAAGAATGATTATGTCTGGGGAGAAAAGTAGAATCTGTGATTTTTTGAAAAAAGCAACTTACATTATTACCTTGTTACTCTGAAAATAAAAACAAGTTTTAGTGTTTGAGTTTTACAAGAATGGTATCTTAGAAATTCAAAGCACCATGCTAAGATGCACAAGACCCAAAGTTTGATTCCCCAGCACTACAGGGTGTAAAAATGGATACAAATACAGTCATGACCTCTAATATTCACTGTAGGGAAATTTGTTTTGGTTTTCTGAGACAGGGCTCACTTGTAGCTCAGGCTGGCCTTGAACTCATGGCAATCCTCATGCCTCTCAGCCTCCTGAGTGCTGGGATTACAGGCATGTGCCTCCATCACTGGCTCCTCTCTGGGGAAGTCTTAGCCCTCAACTTGGTATTTCCTCACCTGGATGGGCAGAAAGGATCATCAAACTATGGAACCCTATCACCAGTCTCTCCCGCACCCTCACACTCCACTAGGCAAAACATGACTTCTGTCACCTAAGTCAGCAGAGAGCTTTGCTTCATGAGTATTAATAATCCAAGTCTCCTCGCTCAGTCTGACCAAGAAGAAAGTCGTGTGGTCACTCTGAATCTATCTTAGCTTTAGCTGGCATCCTGGTTTCCAGTTCATTGCTTAGCTCACTAAACAGGCATTAAACCTGCCAAGCTGGAAACCCTCCCAACATCCAGGTGTATTCAAGGATATCCAGTTTCTTCTAGACCACTATATACACTCAGAGAGCTCATTTTCCATACAAAGTTGATAGAGCAGGCACAAGTAGATGCAAGCACAAAAAGCTATTTGGCTGCCACCCAGTGACATGATGATGTCAGGCAAAGGCGTATCTGCAAAAACAAAAAAAAAAGCGGTTCTGATTGGCCAAACAAAGGGATTTCCTGGTTCCGTGCTGCAGTCCCAAAAAGGTGAGTTTTCTCTCCACTGGGTCCTGTTTCAGAATTTTCCCAGCAGTCCTCATTTCTTTGGTGGTACACCTTAATGGTAAGAGATTCCATACTCACAGTTTAACAGGAATATTAGTGATAAGTAAACTAATATGGTTTTTAGATTGATGACACTAAAATAATCAAAAGCTACCTGTTTCCAAACATCTGTACTATTTCTCTAGAATCTAGAGGATCCCAGATATGTAAGTTCTTTATGTTAAATTATTTACAGGAAGTTAATCCAGGGTCTTATCCAGATAGCATCTGGTTCGAGTCATTGAATGAAATTTCACAAGGATTCCAAACTGGAAGACTTTACTAATTCTTTTGCTCCTCTTTCATTATCTTTATCCTTCTCTACTCTGCCTATTAGCCATCTGTTCTAAATCCTGCTCATCTGGAACACCTTCATTTGAATCCACGGAGATTCTTATTTCTACTGTGTTTTAAGAATTGATGAGGGAAGGGTGGATTTATAAAGGTACTTGGGACATTTGGAGAGTGACAAATTGAACTTCAGTCTGTTTTGTCCACTTACCATTCCTTGGATACCAACTCAATTCCTTTATTGTGTTTAGACTGAACTTTTGTGACAAGACAGCTTTGGCTATTCTGGTGGAAGGAGAACAACAGCCCAACCTTGCTGTGCTGGTTATTCCTCTCCCTGAGCCATCAGGAATTTCAGGCCAGCTCTCTGTGCTGCCTAGTTCCTCACAGGTGGTTTTTTTGAGACCTGTGGTATAGCCTGGAGAAGTTCGGGTCACTACCCCACCTCTATTTGACATCATTTGACAGTGATTGTAGAGAAAACCACCAGTAACTTGGGAAAACGTGTCCTAAAAAGAGGAGTAGGTAGCATAGGTGATCTTGTTCACATGAGCACATTTTCCTACTTGTACGCTTCAATATGTAAAGTTCCTTTTAGGACAGGAACTTTATCATTGTTTTGTTTTTTGTGGTGCCAGGTATTGAATATAAGGGGTTGTGAACACTCAGTAAGTTTTCTACCACTGTACTATGTCTTCAGCCACCCTAAACAATTCGTACCTTGTGATAGGATCTTGTCAAGTGGCTCAGGCTGGCCTCAAACTTGTGGTCCTCCTGCCTCAGCTTCTTGAGCAGCTAAGATTACAGGCATGCCACCACTGCCTATGGAACTTTATCTTTGGATGCCAAGGGCAGAAATAAGAACTAATCCCAAGCATAATATTGAAATTATAGAAATATTTGGTGGGTTTTGCTTTCTTGAAAATGCAGTGGTTCCTGGCATTATTTTTCAAAAGCTTTTCTTAATATACAAATGTATAAATACGTGCTTTTCAAGCTTCTGTCTTACCTACTTTTCTGAATAATTCTATGCCCTCATTTCCACATGCCTTTGAAGCTGTGTGACCTCTCCAGGTTCCAAAGAGGATTTCTCTTTCAAATTCATTAATATTTTATTGAGAAGGCAGTCTTATAATTTCTCCCTAGGTGATGAATATGTCCCTTGGGGGTGGGGACTCTCCCTTTGTTAGAGATGATTGACAAAGACTTTTATTGTTTCAGAAGCGTCTTGCACAGTCCTAAAAGGTTGCAGTAAAAAACACTGAGGATTAGGATAAACGAAAGGAAACCCAATCCTTACTTGAATTACAAGCATCATATCTGGGGAAGGGGTCCACAGAGAAGCAAGTATGCTCACAAATTCCTTGCACCGGCTTGTTCAGTGAATGAAACACGTGTGGGAAAATTAGTGTCTCTCATAATACTTGTACCTTTCTCTTTCCTCGGGAACCTTGCTCAGCAAAGTGTATTGTGAGCTCCAGTGTCTTGTGGTGAAATAATGTTCAGCTCTGCCTTTAGAGTCGATCGCCTCCGAGTTAATTTGTAATTGGTTATCAATCGCCTTAAACTCCTGGAAAAAAAGAAAAGTGAGTAAATATTCCACACTGCACTGCATGCTGCCTCTCAGATCGTTATGAAATTCCTAATGTGATGTATCTTTTAAGCTCTCTTTTGGAAGTTTTGGAATTTAATTCTGACCTAGGAGTATATAGTCATATTTATTATGGGGTTTATTTAGTTTT